CCAGAGTGTAGGAAAACTCTGTTACAAGTAAAAATCCTGCAATTTAAATGTTACTCAAGTAAAAGTAGAAATGTATTGGCATCAAAACATACTAAAAGTACCAAAAGTAAAAGTAGTCATTGTGCAGATTGGTCCATTTCAGAATAATATATATGATATGTTTTTATAAATATTGATAATTAAAGTGTTATCAAAGCTGTTAAAAGTGCAGCTAGTTTTAATGAGTTTGTATTCTGCAGGGTAGCTGGTGAATTTACTCAAGGTGGAACTAAAGTCTGATTTAAGTGTTGATTAGATTTCACATCATTAATCCAAATCTGTAAAGTAACTAAAGGCATTATAGGTGGGGTAGGTAATTTTGGAGAAACCAGCTCGAGTGCGCTAAAATTTGAAAATACACAGCCGGGAAAAATCTGCCACTTCCTTACAGAGCCCCTCCTCCAACACACACGAACGCACACATGACCAATGAGGGCACGAGATAAGTCTGTGCACAGATGGAAGGCTGACAGGCAGGTAGGCCATCCAGCTACTTTAGCCGGGCCGGCTAAAATGATTGGTCGTGCTTTTTACAGTACTACGGCTTCCACAGATGACATTTTTTATGGATTTTTTGTCAAAGCACTTAAGATATTCATTGCTATCGGGATGTTAAGAGCATTCCATGGAATATAACAAAAAGTGTATCTCGAGCCGGTTTCTCAAACTTACCTACCCCACCTTTAAATAAATGTAGAGGAGTAAGGCAAGGCAAGTTTATTTATATAGCACCTTTCAACACAAGGCAATTCAACGTGCTTTACAAAAATGAAAGACATTAAGAAAATGGCATTTAAAAACAGTCATTAAAAAGCAAAGATAATAAAATAAACATTAAAAGACAAAATTCATGAATAAAGGTTACAGTGCAGTGTAAGATATGAATAGTTCAATTAAAAGCAGTGGCAAAAAGAAAAGTCTTCAGCCTGGATTTAAAAGTAGTAAGGGTTGCAGCAGACCTGCATGTTACTGGTAGTTTGTTCCAGATATTTGGAGCATAATAACTGAACTTCTCCATGTTTAGTTCTGACTCTATGGACTGAAAGCTGACCAGTCCCTGAAGACCTGAGAGTTCTGGATGGTTCATAATTTAGCAGGAGGTCAGAAATGTATTTTGGGCCTAAACCATTCAATGCTTTATAAACCAGCAGCAGTATTTTTGAAATGAATTATTTGACACACAGGAAGCCAGTGGAAAGACTTCAGAACTGGAGTGACGTGATCCACTTTCTTAGTGTTAGTGAGGACTCGAGCAGCAGCGTTCTAAATTAGCTGCAGCTGATATCTGTGTATACTGTATGGCGGTCAATAATTAACTATAAATCGGGGTATGACATGCACGTTTGTTGGCATTTTTTATCCAAAAACAAATTTAGCACCAGGGTAAACTTGATAGAGAAAAACGTAATAATTGTTCCTCAAATGTGTTCCAACAAAATAGGCTGTAAATTACCTGGGATTGCCAGCACCATTGTTTACAAGAGAATCTCCAATGCGGATCTCGGCTCCATTGAGTCGTTCAGGGACTTCATATTGGTTGGTCAATAATCATGATCAGCATCCAATCACTTAATACCATGTAGTATACTCCCATGCACATGAAGCCAGTTCCAGTCAGCAGATCAAGGTTCCAGTAGTTATCTAATGACACACTGATGAAACATTCTCGTAAATTCAGGTTTGCACAACCATTGCTTTAATCACAGAGCGATAACTGCACTGATCCAACAGTTTCATTTAACTAGGATTTAGTTTATCACATTGACATATATATTATATATATTGTGTCATAGCTACAAATGCAAGAGAAACATATGTTTATATGATGCTGTGTGCAGAGGTGGGAAAGTACTCGGATCTTCTACTTAAGTAAAAGTAGAAGTACCAGAGTGTAGGAAAACTCTGTTACAAGTAAAAATCCTGCAATTTAAATGTTACTCAAGTAAAAGTAGAAATGTATTGGCATCAAAGCATACTAAAAGTACCAAAAGTAAAAGTAGTCATTGTGCAGATTGGTCCATTTCAGAATAATATATATGATATGTTTTTATAAATATTGATAATTAAAGTGTTATCAAAGCTGTTAAAAGTGCAGCTAGTTTTAATGACTTTGTATTCTGCAGGGTAGCTGGTGAATTTACTCAAGGTGGAACTAAAGTCTGATTTAAGTGTTGATTAGATTTCACATCATTAATCCAAATCTGTAAAGTAACTAAAGGCATTATAGGTGGGGTAGGTAATTTTGGAGAAACCAGCTCGAGTGCGCTAAAATTTGAAAATACACAGCCGGGAAAAATCTGCCACTTCCTTACAGAGCCCCTCCTCCAACACACACGAACGCACACATGACCAATGAGGGCACGAGATAAGTCTGTGCACAGATGGAAGGCTGACAGGCAGTTAGGCCATCCAGCTACTTTAGCCGGGCCGGCTAAAATGATTGGTCGTGCTTTTTACAGTACTACGGCTTCCACAGATGACATTTTTTATGGATTTTTTGTCAAAGCACTTAAGATATTCATTGCTATCGGGATGTTAAGAGCATTCCATGGAATATAACAAAAAGTGTATCTCGAGCCGGTTTCTCAAACTTACCTACCCCACCTTTAAATAAATGTAGAGGAGTAAGGCAAGGCAAGTTTATTTATATAGCACCTTTCAACACAAGGCAATTCAACGTGCTTTACAAAAATGAAAGACATTAAGAAAATGGCATTTAAAAACAGTCATTAAAAAGCAAAGATAATAAAATAAACATTAAAAGACAAAATTCATGAATAAAAGTTACAGTGCAGTGTAAGATATGAATAGTTCAATTAAAAGCAGTGGCAAAAAGAAAAGTCTTCAGCCTGGATTTAAAAGTAGTAAGGGTTGCAGCAGACCTGCATGTTACTGGTAGTTTGTTCCAGATATTTGGAGCATAATAACTGAACTTCTCCATGTTTAGTTCTGACTCTATGGACTGAAAGCTGACCAGTCCCTGAAGACCTGAGAGTTCTGGATGGTTCATAATTTAGCAGGAGGTCAGAAATGTATTTTGGGCCCAAACCATTCAATGCTTTATAAACCAGCAGCAGTATTTTGAAATGAATTATTTGACACACAGGAAGCCAGTGGAAAGACTTCAGAACTGGAGTGACGTGATCCACTTTCTTAGTGTTAGTGAGGACTCGAGCAGCAGCGTTCTAAATTAGCTGCAGCTGATATCTGTGTATACTGTATGGCGGTCAATAATTAACTATAAATCGGGGTATGACATGCACGTTTGTTGGCATTTTTAATCCAAAAACAAATTTAGCACCAGGGTAAACTTGATAGAGAAAATTGTAATAATTGTTCCTCAAACGTGTTCCAACAAAATAGGCTGTAAATTACCTGGGATTGCCAGCACCATTGTTTACAAGAGAATCTCCAATGCGGATCTCGGCTCCATTGAGTCGTTCAGGGACTTCATATTGGTTGGTTAATAATCATGATCAGCATCCAATCACTTAATACCATGTAGTATACTCCCATGCACATGAAGCCAGTTCCAGTCAGCAGATCAAGGTTCCAGTAGTTATCTAACGACACACTGATGAAACATTCTCGTAAGTTCAGGTTTGCGCAACCATTGCTTTAATCACAGAGCGATAACTGCACTGATCCAACAGTTTCATTTAACTAGGATTTAGTTTATCACATTGACATATATATTAAATATATTGTGTCATAGCTACAAATGCAAGAGAAACATATGTTTATATGATGCTGTGTGCAGAGGTGGGAAAAGTACTCAGATCTTCTACTTAAAGGGGACCTATCATGCAAAATGCACTTTTGTACGTCTTTTATACATGAATATGTGTCCCCGGTGTTCCAGGGAACTCACCAAGTGTCAGAAAACACAACCCTCTCTATTTTCCTCCATACCCAAATCTCTAAAAAAGGGGCTGCAACGGATCTGATAAAAACTGATCCAGATTTGAACACTGTCCTGACGTCAGGACGGTGGCGCTACGGCTATTGGGCCAACTCCACCAATCAGGAGGAGACAGCCACGGCCATTGCCGTTCAAAAGCGCTGGAGACGCTGTAGTACATATGCCAGGCCTGTAGATGGTGCTGTTCTCACTGAATCTGCCCTTGCAAAAACAGAGCAAAAAAATGTCAAATTGAGCAAAATGAGGCATGGCTAAAATGCATGATCTGTTTGGTATTTAAAAAAAAAAAAGTATAAATATGCCTTATATAGGTATGGTCCTACACTATATTATTCAAATATAGCATGATAGGTCCACTTTAAGTAAAAGTAGAAGTACCAGAGTGTAGGAAAACTCTGTTACAAGTAAAAATCCTTCAATTTAAATGTTACTCAAGTAAAAGTAGAAATGTATTGGCATCAAAACATACTAAAAGTACCAAAAGTAAAAGTAGTCATTGTGCAGATTGGTCCATTTCAGAATAATATATATGATATGTTTTATAAATATTGATAATTAAAGTGTTCTCAAAGCTGGTAAAGGTGCAGCTAGTTTGAATGACTTTGTATACTGCAGGGTAGCTGGTGAATTTACTCCAGGTGGAACTAAAGTCTGATTTAAAGGTTGATTAGATTTCACATCATTAATCCAAATCTGTAAAGTAACTAAATGCATTAAATAAATGTAGAGGAGTAAGGCATGGCAAGTTTATTTATATAGCACCTTTCAACACAAGGCAATTCAACGTGCTTTACAAAAATGAAAGACATTAAGAAAATGGCATTTAAAAACAGTCATTAAAAAGCAAAGATAATAAAATAAACATTAAAAGACAAAATACATGAATACAGGTTACAGTGCAGTGTAAGATATGAATAGTAGAGGAATCATAGTGTCTATTATTACTAGCCAATGTGTTGTTTTAGAAAGTATCCTAACTCTCCTCTCTGTGATGATTTTTTTATTTTATTAAGGGTTTTATTTGCTTTCTTTCATGCAGTAATGAATTTAAATGTCACCTGAAGAACAACAGAGACAAAATGGAGACAATAGCTAAAGAAGGATCCACAACTGGTTTTCCTGAACGCTTCTGTCAGCTGGATGAGAGTATGTATCACTGATCAACACTAAAACTGTCAGATAAGGAAAGCTTTCAGTGCAACACCTACTGTACTGTAGACCATCTGCAATAGCTTTGGTTTGATGATGGACTCATTCAAACAATTGAATGTAGATAGTGTGAAATGTAGATTGTTTGAACAGGGGTTGAATGTGGTGCTTATGCATATTCAGCAGAGGTGAAAGAAGTACTCTGATCCTTTTCTTAAGTAAAAGTAGAAATACTATTGACTGAAAATACTTATTGCAAGCAAAAATCCAGAATTCAAAGTAGAAGTACAGATTATTAGCAAGCTGTACTCAAAATATGCATGTGGAGCCTATTTTACATACTTATAACATAATATGGAGCACTGCTAATATATAAGAACAACCCAGTATACTCATTTACATTTATTTAACACTCATAGTTACTTTGAGATATTGTGATACACTTATGACTCAAGTGTATCACAATATCTCAAAGTAACTGAGTGTTAAATAAATGTAAAAAGTCTATATTTGTCTTCAAAATGTATGTAAGTAACATCAAATGTAAACGCTCATGTAAAGTACAGTCATGTCTAAATAGTACTTATGTATTGTACTTGAGTAAATGTACTTAGTTAGATAGTCATTGTGTTGCATACAGGCACCCCTGTTTGAAGAAATAGAGTAATAAAGTATGGGCATACATTTATTAGTTCCCTCTGTGGGACTAATGCAGGTATTCTGATTCTGAAAAAAGAATCAAAATATATGTATTTATGTGGTTTAGCCTGCAGTAGAAGTTTAACCCTGGTTCTCTCTGCTTACAGATTGGCTTAAGGTTGCTCACGATGGAGTGGATCTCCGTGGTTCTGATATCTGTTTTGAGCTGATGGACGATGCAGACTCCTGTCAGAGGAATTGCACTGAGGATCCTCTCTGCCAGTTCTACACCTACGTCACTGAAGCCTTCCATAACCGAGATTTCCGGTACAGTATAGTCTTAATGCATGCATGCAAAAGAGAAACACATTTTGTATTTCAAAAATACAATTGAGGTAATCTTTTAACATTAAATCCTCATTGTAACACACTTTATAATTTGATTACAGCTGTATTTATGGTGCATAATTGAGATTGTGTTGATTTTGTGTTCTAGGCGTCGCTGCTATTTCAAGCGTACCATCACCATGCCTGCTCCGCCTAAAATCACCAAACTTGAGAAGGTTACATCCGGCTTCCAGCTGAGGTCCTGTGTGGAGACTGCTTCACACACACGTCGTGTAGATGTAAGCAGCACCGTTTGATTTCTGTTTAAACTGCAGAGGATTATTTTTGTGTGTAAACAAGAGTAATAAAACAGAAAGAAAACCAGTTTGCTTTCAGCCTGCTTTATTCAACTAAAAGTGAACTAATCACACAATCACTTTACAGAATTAATCGAGATTTTGAGGAAGATGTATGACAAAGAAAACTGTCTAATTTTGTCAGTTTAGCCGTTACATCTCCTTGTTCTCTCTTGTCCTTTCTCTTTTGAGCGCCGCTCTTGTGCTTTGGTTTGCTGTAGGTCTACATTATTAATGCAAGCTATTCAATTTGTTATAATGCTGCCAAACTTGCTGCTTCTAGCTACAGTACCTATAACTTTTGAGGTTGATGAAACGGTAGCTCGTCACGCAAGGTATCACATGACATGAAAGGGAGCAAGGTCATTGGACAGACTAATTACAAATGAATTTAGGTTGCTTGGTTACTTTGAAGACTGCGTGAAGCGGTCAATGCCATTGGGGCCCCCCCCCAAGAAAATATATAGCCTATATATTAAAATATATATATGGGCCCCTGGCCGGCTGCACCGTCGATAGTTACGCCACTGGTATGAGGCGAGCAAAGATATTAAAATAGTCCTTAGTGATTCTACACCTATATTTAGAAATGGTGTGCTGCTTGCGATTGAGAATAATAACACCTAGATTTGTTATCACACTTCAACACAACTTCACAATGTTATCATGGTTTCGTTTTTATTTTATATTCCTCCAGTAATGTTGACCTCATTTTACCTGTTGCGTGCAATATTTGACAGCTGAAAACTCAGTGACTCAGCACTTTTCATGTACCTCTGCACACGTAGAGTAAACCAGCTCTGGCAATCATTAAACTGAACAGGCTGCGACTGTATAATGCATCCATGACGTGTTTACATATCATTTACACTTTCTTTGTGTATCTTTCTCTGATTCAGTGTTTGAACTCTAGAGTTTGAGTTGAGTAGCTGCCACTATCAAAGCTGTCATGTTTTTTGATGCATGAATCACAATTCATTCATTCAGGATCATTCCAAGTTATCTAAGATTTGACAAAAACATTGGGTCGTTTGATTGCACCGATGACATTCCACCTCTTCATATTGTTTCATTGCGTTCCTAAAGTTTCAATTTTGTTGTCTTAATCGGTATGCAGGCTGTCTTTAGTTAAAAGTGTTTGTCCTGGTTGTACCTTGAGTCCTGCACTTATGTAGATTTGACAGCAGAGGGCACTGAACTACACGTCCTGACATTCAATTCCTCCAATGTACACCAAAACAGGAACTCCAATGTTTTGTAACGTATATGACTTCCCCAGTGAGACTCTTTCAGAAGGTTAAAGGTCACCTATTATGCAAAAATCGACTTTTTCATGTCTTTTATACATACATTATACATCTGTGTAAAGAGATTCGGAAAATGAGCAGATTTTGGCCACTTAATGATGTCATGACGATTTTTTGTCTTGTGTAACCATTAGCCAATAACCAACCAAGGTAACACCCTCCTAGAGCACCCTTGTGTTCTTTTTAATAGGCGTCGACCGATTATCGGCCTGGCCGATTATCGAGGCCGATATTCCGCTACGGACTTTAACACTACATCTATAGACGTCGAGATATTATTACTGCTGAATATTAAATGAAGGTACAGTTGATCGTAAAGTGTTTTCACATACGTGGGTAGCTATGACGTCAGAGGGAGTTACCGTAAATGAGAACTGTGCCGTAAAAGTGTTTCTAGGATTTCTAAACTAACTATTACAGCTGTTTATAAAGTATTAAATAAAAAGTAATGAAAGAGATAAGGAGGAGAAAAGGCTTAAGGAAGTAAGCAAGGAATACAAAATGTCGAAATCCTCTGTTTCACGCGATGTCGAACATTGAAGACCGAGGAGGGCGGTCCCCCTATCTGCACAGCGGGAGAGAACTAGAAGAGTATAAAGGAGATCGGAAAGGACAACGCGGTCTCTTGTCTTTGCTGCAGCCTCCCGAGAGACAACACCGGCTTTGTCTCTTCCTTACCTATGCTTGTTCTTTAACCACGTTACTTAATTAAAGTACCAATTTGAACCTTTTCAGAGACTCCATTAGTCTCATTATTTTAAGTTTCTTTCCTGGGAGCGAGAAGATCACAATTCATCAATAAAAGCCGAAGTTCAATAAACATCCCAATCCCCTATGCTGAAGTTGCAAAAACACCACGATCTTATGATCCAATTATATCAGTTTCCCAGTTCCAAAGGGACCGGGGGGCGGGTAGCGTCTCGCAGCGGAGAAACTGTGACGCGCTGGGACGACTGGGACTGTGACGGCTGCTAGTGGAGCCTCGCAGCAACTCTGCTTTCTGCACCACAATCTGGTGCTGCTGAATTGGGACTACTAAATGAGTGAGACTTGTTAGAAGTATTCGTTGTTCTCGCGCCCAGGAGAGAAGCTTAGAATGAAGAGACTAATGGAGTCTCCGAAAAGGTTCAAATTGGTTGAGTTTAATTAAATGGCACGATGATACAACAAGCAGAGGGTAAGAGGAGAGACAGAGCAGCTGTTGCCTCGCCGGGGTGAAGGGGTGAAGTCTCGTGGTGAAAAACTAAATTACGTCATTGAATATTGATTTTAATTTCTAACAATCCCTCCTTTCACACCTTTTAAGGTGTGAACACAATACTGAAATCAATGAGTTCTTCATAAGACAGCTTTTAAACTGACGGTATGTTTTAGACTAAATTATGCTATAAAACATTGATTTTCATTTCTAACAATATTGTTAGAAGTATTCGTTGTTCTCGCGCCCAGGAGAGAAGCTTAGAATGAAGAGACTAATGGAGTCTCCGGAAAGGTTCAAATTGGTTGAGTTTAATTAAATGGCACGATGATACAACAAGCAGAGGGTAAGAGGAGAGACAGAGCAGCTGTTGCCTCGCCGGGGTGAAGTCTCGTGGTGAAGAAGAAGAAGTCTCCAAAGCTCCGTCACCTCTCTCTATATCTCAGTGGTGACTTCTCCTCATCAATGGTGGGCGGTCACGTAGGGAGGGAACTTCCCTCCTCTTTCTCATTGTCTTAGTTTCTCTGATTAGGTCATCTCTCTGAGAGTGAATCTTAAATGTATGTGTGATCAACAGACGCGTTTAGGGGGTGAGGTTTTGCATACTGTGTCTGTGTATATCTCACTGTCTTGTAGGGTGAGATGGTTTTGCAGAGGGTTGTGCCAGAGGGGGGTACGAACATTGTGTTGCTGTACGTTTGTTGCTGTACGTTTGTCACCTAACTGATTATTCTCTCTCGACCCCAGCTGATTTTAAAGCTGCTACGACAAAGCTTACTGTGCATTTAAACTAAATTACGTCATTGAATATTGATTTAAATTTCTAACAGACTCAAATATCAGAAGTTCAGAACAAGTTTTAGTAGTTTTTATTTTATTTTTACTTCATTTACTTTACTCAGGGTCACAGAGAGGAAACCAGTTTTAAGATGTTGAAAAGTTCATTAAACATAAAAAGGCATTTCAAAGAAGTTGTGTTATTCTACATTTTGACACCAAGATTTTCTGATTTTACTGCAAATGTATATCGGTTCCAAATATCGGTTATCGGTCTCCTTGATTACTAATAATCAGTATCGGTATCGGCCTTGAAAAAGCCATATCGGTCGATCCCTACTTTTTAACCAAATATCTCTGAGGGGCGTGGGGAGTGGCACATTATTTTCATCTAAAGTAAGGCTCCGTTTACACAGGAACGCAAACTAAAATGAACCGAATTCGATATAAAAAAAGTCTTCCATTCACACGCAGTCGGCTCAATAAACGTGTCCGTTCACACGAGACCGCTCGACCAAGCCCCCAGGAAGTGCGCCGGACTCAGATGAAAATATTCGTGGTGGCCAAACGGCGGTACTACACTTCCTTTTGGTTGCCAGGCCCGGAAACACTTTTTCCCATTGACTTACATGGGGAAAGAGTGGTCTGTAAATCGTTGGATAATTTTTTTTAAACTAAATAAACTACCCAGTATGAACACTTGTATAGCCCTTATTAAAAACATTCGTTCCTCAAGTTGTAAAAATGTGCTAATAACGTTATTCTGTGAGTTATTTCCCTCTGCATTATGAATGCGCATCTAACCCACGGGACCGCGCCGCCCGGCACGTTCATGTTACGTGTTCAGCACTACATGCGTTTATCTTTACCCATGGATGCACAATAAGAACGGACCCATATCGCCTTACTGCCAGCCCACGGAGCTGTAATAATGGATATATTGCACATGTTTGCTGTAATTCATCATTTGTAAAATATTATACTACATGGGCTGTATGATTAAATCTTGTACCGTAAATGTTGTATTAAATAAAGTTAATATTACCGACGTAGATTAACGTCCCTGTAGCTTCTTATTGCACTAAGAAGCTTATTGCACTGTGCAATAATTCTTTCATGCTAAATGAAGCTCTGTTGCTTGGATATCACTAGATCCTGTTACAGCGTAATATAAAAGTACATAACGATTGATGTGTAAATTAGCATAATTACTAGCTAACCGCTAGCTGCTAACTGCCGCCTCGTTAATATCAAATCTATCATAACAAACATTACCATGCTGTCATGAACGTGCGGTGCTGTTACGTGTACGCAAATTGACGTGCTTGATGTGAACGAGCATTTTGGGGGGCATGGTTAAAGTTGCGCATGCGCTATGAGCGCACATACGGGTACTTCTCAGGCATGCCGAGTAATCTGTGACGTTTCGCTCTCTCAAAAGTTGGGCCATTTTATCATCATGCGCGAATGAGCAACTCTCATAGGAATGAATGAGGCCCCGCCTCCCACGCTGTATCCAGTTCTTATTATACATCCACAGTTTTTTTATACATCCACAGTTTTTTTGCACGCTTTGAGAGCAGCCAGGCTGTGGAGGTACAGAGGGACCAGGAGCTACACTGCCCTTTTGTTTTAAATAGGGCAGATGTGTGTAAATCCTTTAAAAGGGTTAACCCACACAAGGCTCCTGGACCTGATGGCATCCCTGGCCGTGTTCTAAGGGTGTGTGCAGTTCAGCTGGCAGAG